CATGTTGAATTCAGATTGCACCAGAAACTAATCACCTGATTCATACTGACATTTTATATATTGATAATAAATATATCCTCCATCCAAATACATATTTTTAATTATTTTTATTTTATGTGTATGAGTGTTTTGTCTGGATGTAAGTACACCTTGAGGGTGTATCTTAAAGATGGTCACACGCTGATCATGCGCTCTCACCAATGCGGAAGTATTCTTCAAACTTTTAAAACAAGTCAGGCCTCGCCCCAGTAACTTCCTCTCGGACCTCTGCAAGGTGGGGCCTTTAGGTCCCCACAATTGGGCTTGCCTGACCATAAGTGTGTTGCTTATGCTCTTGGAATCTCTGTTTCCCCTGAAAATGAATAACATCTTGAGTATTAGAAGCCATTATAGATATGAGAGAACACTTGACTCAAAGGCGAGCAGGAACTCGAAAGCACTTTGGAAGTCACAAGATTGTGTCACAAGGTTGTATTAGATTCATAACTGTCTTTTATATACTGTTTTACCTACAAAACACTGAGATTATTTCCTCCAGTCTCTGAAATAAACATTTTGCCATATTTCACATTTCCTTTTTTTGGTTTTCCAAAGAAATGCATTAGCAAAAATGAATTTGGCTGTCGTCCCAAACTGTCAGGATTTCCTCGTTGATTGTTTGCTTGCTTGCTTGCTTTTTGCTTGTTTTCTTTGACAGAAAGATAGAACTCATCTGTGATAATACTGGGAAAGTCAATTTGGTGACTAACTTATTTGGTCATTAATTTCTGTTTTCTAGCAACCATCTTTTATTAAAAGAAAGCTCACTGCCTTATGTTTTAACCATCTTTAGGGACATGGTGATATTTCCTTTTTAGTTATGAAAGAGAAGCACTTGGCCTTTTTATATGTCAGCTATCACATTTTCTACCTTTAGGGCATTTAATAAATGTGTGTATCATCATCATTTTTATTATGAAGCATCTTCAGTGTGTCACCAATGTCTTCTCTTAGGTCATGAATTATCTACACTGTATATCCTTTCCCAGAATGACTTTGTTACCCAGCTACAGCAAGGATATATTTTATGCCTTATCTGCCCTTTCTAAATTCTCACAAGTTTGCTCACATTTATATTGCCAAAATTATTCTCACACTAAAATGCTAAAACCATGTCCATATCTAATCCATGACTGAATTGTACCATTATTATGAATGTTCTTGACATCTGCAATTTCTGATATGTTTAAAAATATGAATATTGCTGTGTTCCCAATAGCAGTTTTAGATCTGCAAGGAATGTAGCTTTTTCCTATCTGCATGCTAATTATTTAACAAATCCATTTATTGCCTCCTAAAGTAGTTTGCTTAACGGGACTAACATATCATATTTCCATATAAAGTATTTATAAAATAAGATGGAAAAGAGGATTTCCAGAGGAGAATGGTTATGGGATTGGGCCTTTCACGGCTACAGTATTAATTTATAAAGTTATTCCAATATATTTCAGCTTGTTAACATTGCATTGAAAGTCCTGGCAGCTACTGACTGGAACTGACAGAAACTGTCTCATTCATGCAACAATTTTGCTTCCTAAGTTTCTGATAAAAATAGCTATTTACCAAGCTTGAAGGAGAGGTAAGTTCTTGGGATGTTCTTTCCAGGCGTTTCTTTTGACTATGTACTTGTACATCCAAACAATTTCTTTCATAATATAATATTCTGTTTTCATTTGCAATGGAGAAGATAATCGTAAAAGTATTCTTCAAATTTTTTCTTCAAAAAATATTCTGACTTCCCTGATTCGAATCTTAAATACAGTGCTCAGGAGTAAAGGTTTTGCTGTCTCTGTTGAAGGACAGTTAGGCAGTCAGTCACTTGGCGGACCATTGTTTAACATTCTGTGTTGGAGAAAACACACTGAATTCTGAGCCATGGAATTCAATAGACCCACATTTGCCTCTGTAGGTATCACAAGTGACTCACAGAAGGGAACTGTTTCACAGCACTTTGGTGCTCTGTAATTATCATGATCTGAATCATTTTATTTTGGACCTCCTACCAGTCTCTCTCTGTCTTTGCTAATTGAGTAGTAATACTTCATCTGTGTCATGCTGAAAATGCCGCCATGGAATTTTGCAGGAAGCTAGTGGGCTCTGGCAAAATCAATAGTTTCAGTGTAGTAGAACGAACTTTAAAATCAAGGCAAATATCTAGTTTCGCAGTCATTTGCAAAGCAATAATATTTTGCATCCAAGTAAATCATCAAACTTTTCTCTGTGTCTACACAGGACTGAAGACCTCCTCTGGTTGTTGGAAAATGATTGATGGTGGGCGTTGAGATGAGGGTCTTGGAATAACGTGCACATAAAATTGGAGGCATTGATGGTGCTGAAAGGGAACGAATCTCCTTGTAGATGATACATTTTTATCAGCTGACTCATTTATTGACATTCCTAGAATTGGAAAGCTGTACTTTAGGCAGCTTTTATTTTCACATTTGTATTTGAATTTGTATCCTATGTCAGTTTAAATTTTATTTTCTCATGGCATGTATTAAAACTCTTCAGTAAATGTCATCCTGCTTAGCTCTACAAAATGTATTCTGGTGGAAACTTAGACTGGCTTTAGTCAAAGTCTGGAACATCAGTGACAGCAAAGGACACCTTTGCAGGGAATAGAAACAAGTAGGAAGAAAGAGGTCAAGAGCTGGCAGTGGAGTCAACCTGGACATCTGTGCAGCACTCTCAGGACATAATCTGAAACTCAGAAAGATATTTGTGTTTTGTTAAAAAGAAAGGCATCTTTTACTTTCAATTAGGTATTCTTAAGGGGCCACTGGCCCAAGTTCTGTTGTTTACTAAACTCAAGTCTTCTCAGGAAGGCACAAGTGAGATTTCTACTTTGGGGTCAAAGCAGAACAGGGATATCCATATGCTCCATTTACTCATTTATCACTAGGTCTTGTTTTGAATGCAAAGAACACTGGGAAATGAGATAAGCACACTCCTTGTCCTCACAAATTGTAATAAATAATTCTATTTTGCCTTATACATCATCGTTTGAGAGCCAATATGAAAAACAAACAAACACCAAGAAAGATGCCATTGATTGAGAGTAGCACCACTACCAGCCAGCTAGGAACTCTCAAAGTCTACTATGCAGTGTTTTAGCATTTACCATGTTCTGTGTTACACCCTATACTAGATAAGAATGAACACGTTCCTTTGAACAATATCAGTGTAGACTGCTTTGAAAACACATGTTGGTTTGAGTTGTGATTTCTTACCCACTTCCCCATGTTTACGCTGGGATATTTTCTGGTTTGAGCTTGCCCAGGTCTTGTACATGCTGTCACCATTGCTGTGAGTTCATCCAAGTTACTGTCTGGAAGACTCTGTTTACTTGTGGTCATTTACCCCCCTGGCTCTTATAATCTTTCTGCTTCCTCAAGCATATTATATAAGTGTGTGTGTGTGTGTGTGTCTGTGTATAAAAGGGAGTACATTTATTTTTTTTTTTAAAAAAGAGAGTACATTAAACCAGGAAGGAGGGGGAAGTAGGGTCAGTAGGGGTGGTGCAGATACAGGAAAGGATCTAAATACCATCAAACTGCACTGCACAAAAATTGCAAAAATTCAATAAAAAATAAAACAAAATAAAAAATACATATTGGGGAACTGGAGAGATTGTTCAATGGTTAAAAACACTAGATACACTTGCAGAGGAACGTTTGGTTCCCAGTATCCGCATGGTGGCTAACAGCCTTCTGTAATTCCAGTTTCAGGGGATCTGATGCCATCTTCAGGGGATTTCCAGGTGCCTTTATAAGCTCTGTAACACCTGCAATAAATGAGTCCCTGCTTGAATAGGCTCCCCATTGCTTCTGATTGTCCCCGGTACTGGGTACTGGGGGCTGCATGGGCTGGCAAACAGCATGCTTACTCATCCCCAATCATCACTGTGCAGGGGGTCGCTGGTTTGAACCCCCCGTACCAATAAAGGGAGGAAGAGGAGGGGCAGGTAAACTCAGATGCCCTGATTCCTGGTCCAAAATTTTCTTAGAACTTTATGCTGCTGTTGGTCAATGAAATGCCTCCATGTTCGTCAGCAGCATTCTCACCTCGCCTCACCAAGCATGCTCGCTCATTTCATTTCACTATTTGGACAGTATTCCAAATAGTGCAAATCTTTTTCTCGCAAACATAATTTTCCAATAACATTGATTAAACTTCTGGCTTGAAAATCCAGCATTGTTTCAGCCAATAGAGCAAATAGAAATAATTGACTTATGAGAAAATATATAACTTCTAATGTTTCTTCCATTGAGGATTCAGAGCTCCTCAAGTTTGAAACTAATATAAATAAAAATGTCTCTAAAAGATAGATACTTGACTTCACTGACTACATACGCTGTTAAGTAGAACTTCAAATTTCATAACTACTAATCAAATCATTCCTTTGGTAATTTATGTGCATCTAATTATCCAATGTAAATGTTTGATTTTTCTAGTTTCCACATTCCATGTTCAATTTAGTATGAAATTTTTGCTATATGAAAATTATTTCAGGCTTTTTTGGAATGACATTAAGTTTGGAAATCCAAAGATTAACACAGAAATAGTCCCTGACATCTGAAGGAAGTTCTGCGTATACAGAAATACATTTCCTAGCCCTGCTGAAAAATAACAGCCAGCAAAATTTCAAGACTTCCCATAGACCGGTCTTGGCTTTCAGAAATAGCCTGGGGATGATCATGACAAGCAGACTGACAGGAAAATTCCTTCACTTTCTCTTCCACTGAAAGACAGAAAGCTGAACTTCTTTTAAATCACATGAGTCATGGGCTGGAGGGATAGCTCAGTGCTTAAGAACCCAGGCTGTGAAAAAAAAAAGTGCAAGAAGCCACCACCAGTGCCACCACCGCAGCCATGCGGGAGTTCGAGGAGACTGGCTGCCAGCCTTCCCCCGCCCGGCCCGCCACAGCGCCCTGGGATTTGTTCCAACACTCTGTTAAAACATGGTGGATTACTATGAAGTTCTAGGAATGCAGAGACGTGTCTCATCCGTGGATATCAAAAAGGCGAACCCGATGCAGTCACTCAAGTGGCCCCCAGATAAAAATCCTGAGAATAAAGAAGCAGAGCGAAAGCTCAAACAAGTAGCCGAGGCCTATGAGTTGTTATCAGATGCTAAAAAAAAGGACAACTATGACAAACACCGATGGAGGAGGGGGAGGTGGAAGTCACTTTGGCAGTCCGTTTGAGTTCGGCTTCACATTCTGAAACCCAGATGATGTCTTCAGGGAATTTTTTGATGGCGGGGACCCATTTTCAAACGACTTCTTTGAAGACCCGTTTGATGACTTTTTTTTTTTAAACCAAAGGGGTCCCTGAGGAAGCAGAAACTGAAGCCCCAGCTCCATTTTCTCCACCTTCAGCGGATTTCCATCATTTGGAGGTGGATTTTCTTCATCTGATACAGGATTCACTTCGTTTGGATCACTGAGTCATGGGGGTCTCACTTCCTTCTCTTCAACATCATTTAGCAGCAGTGGGATGGGTGACTTTAAGTCAATATCAACTTCTACAAAAATAGTTAATGGCAGAAAAATCACTACAAAAAGAATTGTGGAGAATGGTCAAGAGAGAGTAGAAGTTGAGGAAGATGATAAAAGTCCTTGAGGATAAATGGTGTGGCTGATGAGAATGCCCCTGCAGAAGAGTGCCAGCAGAGAGGGTAACACACCCCAGTCCTGGGCCCAGGCCCCACCTCCAGTCCCAACACCAAAAATCACTAGCTGTGAGTTCTAACTTTGGATTTCTTAAAAATAAGCTGGAGGAGAGAACATAGATTTGAAACCATAAGAAATAAATCTCAGAATGACTCCTGGCATAATTGGATTTCAGGAAAGAAAAAAAACTTTGGGACATTTCTGACCTATAGTGAAAGCCTGAATTGAGGACATGGGTACTGAGCTGTGTCTTAAAAGGTGAATGGGACTTAATTAGGAAAGGATTACCAGCATCCAGGGCTTGAACATTTACTTTCTGCCAAACACAAAGGTATGTGCTTTACATACATTATTTCATTGTCTTCTTACATCAGAGAGATTTTATTACCCTGTCAAACAGCTAGTGAGTGGCTTTAAGAGAATGTCAGGATCATAACTCACAAGCATCGGCACAGCTGGCCCTGGCTTGCCTTTCCAGTTTCATCTCACATCACTTGCTTGCTTATCCATATACTCCGTGAATGCAATAACCCCTCATTGCAGAGTGGTCAGATTTTAAATTTCCTTTTCTTGCATGAATCTGCCTTATTTGATTACAAAACTTCTAAGCATCTGACAGTCTGTTATTTCTTCAAAGAGGCATTCTCTCATTATTAATCTATATTAGGTTCCCGATTAGACTCACAGACATACTATTTATGGTAAATAGTGTAGTTTAGATATAATTAACTACATACATAATGTTGTAAAATTTGGAATTCTCCAGGTTTGCGGGTTAGATATTGAGTTAAGAGTTGATGATGAGGACTTGAGTCTGAATTCTGCAGGGTGGAAATTCAGCCAGAGTGTCCAGGATAATCTTGAGAATTCATTCTTGCAGAAACCAAGGTTCTTATCTCTTAAGGCCTTAAACTGACTGAATGAAGCCCCAAAATGTATGCAGTTCAATCTGATTTCTTCAAGCTTTCCTAAGGTAAACATTTGTCATATCTAGGAATTACTTTCACAACAATATGTATTCTGGTGTTTGCTAAACAAACAGGCAACATAGCCAAGCCAAGTTGATGTATAAAATTGACCATAACATATGTCTATTTAAGGTTTATTTTATCTATTTAACCATAAGCTCCATGAGAAGAGAGACTCAGAACATCTTTTTACATATCAATGGTCTCTAAAAAAAGTATCTGATTTATATTTGCCCAAATTTTCTGCTAAATAAAATCAATAGGCAGCAGGTCTTGATGACTGGCTGATTTAGCACAGGTAGACAAAGGAAAATGGGAAACAGTAACTGACTACAGGACAGTACAGTTTTCTCTTCAGATACATTTAACTCATTTTAGCTAGCAGTTATGGAATGGTTCCCATCACCAGAAAATTACTTGAGATACAGAGAAACTTAAATGAATATACTAGGAGTTATATGACTATTTCAGCATGAAGATATTTATTGCAGCACTGTTTACAGCATCAAATATCAAAACAACCTAAATTTCTAATATTAAGGAATTTGATGAACAGTTATTGGCAACCAAGGAACTAGGTGCCATGAGGCAGTTCAGCATTGAAGTTTTAAGAAACTGTCATATTAGTATGCACTGTCAACCTGGGTTCAGCTGTAGAGACGTAGACACTCCAACAGAATAATTCCACATTCAGATGTTGACCACATACAGTGTGCCAGGTACTATTCAGGCATTTACAATGATGAACAAATTAGATAGCCTCTATTTAGTCCTGGAGCATGCATTCTGGTAGAGAAACACAAATAAACAAATGATATGTTATGTTACTCGTCAACCCTTCTGAGAAAAATGAAGTAGATAAAAGAAAACCAAAACATTTGGGATGAGAGAAAGGTAGAAATATTAGGGTCAGGATGAAAGAAATCACAGAGAAGGTGACAAAGACTTAAACACTAAAGAAATGAGTGTGAGCCATTTGTCTATCTGGAGGGAGAGTCCTATTGCAGGGGGAATAGGTAGTGGAAAAGCCTGAGACTGAAGTTGTCCTGGCTTAACTGGGAAGAAACAGTGATCAAGAGGGAAAGCAGTAGAAGATGAAATCAGATATGCAAAGACAGAACTAAAGAGAAGATGAAAGGAAGACATGGCATCATGGGTACGTGTGAGAAGGGTAGTGGTACCCATATCACATGGGTAGTGTGAAACTGATTGAAGCATTTTGTCCAGATCTAGGAAGGTGATAAATATTAAACCTAAATGTAATTTTTATGCCCACTAAACAGAAGGAAAACCTATTTCTTTGCAAGTATATCATGCATGTGTGTCTGTCCAGTCTTTTGACAATGTGACACAACATTTTCATGTACAAAGTTCATGTTGTAGAATGATGCGTCTTCATTACAAAAACATCCCCAAATAATCTCATGAAGTTTTCAGTTATGTTTATGATTTGAGATTAGACTTGACTCATCACAATCCTCAGCAACATGCAGTTACTACAGAATGGACACGTCTAGATCTTTTTTGAAGGGGAAAAAATAACTTGAAAATAGCTAATAAGTCATTTTCATCAGACTATAGGAACCTGGACAACTCTTGTAGTAATACATCACATAAATGAGCAGAAACCTCAAAAGATAGAGAACTGGGGGGCGGGGTGGACAGAGAAACGGAGAAAAGAACAGGAGAATAGCTTGGCAAAATGGCTCAAAAGGCAATGAATAGCACTTGCCTTGCAAACCTGCCTACCCGAGTCCAATCAGCAGAAGTCACAAAAATGTGAGAGGAGAGAACTGACTCCACAAAGCTGTCCCCTGACCTCCATACACATAAGATGATGTGCATACACTTACTCATCACCCCACATATTACATACATACACACACTAACGATAATAACAATTATGGAATAATAATAATAATAAAATAGTAATAAAAGTGAGAGACAATAATTCATCTTTTAAGATTGAAAGCAAAGATCTTTGCTCTACAAAGAGTGATGTGATAAACTCATGACAATTATGATAACTTGCAAAAGACATATGTAACGTCAAGCCAGACTAAATCTCAGAATGTTTAGGGGTGCGGGAGTAGGGCTGAATTCCCATTCCTAGCTGAAAATCTATTGGCATATAATAATTGCTGGGAAAGGAAGAATCACTTTTGTTTAGTTGCATGACCCCTGGTAGGTCTACCATGACCCAGAGCAGGCTCAACACCTGACGAGTATCTGAACAACACAAATTGCATTTGATGGGTTAAAAAAGAAAATACAAAGTTGGGTGGGGAGGGAGCAGGGTAGATCTGGAAGGAGTTGGGGGCAGGCTGAATATGATCAAAATATATTACATGAAACTCACAGATAATTAATTTTTTTAAAAAAGAGTGACATTGGAACATGGAATTCTGGGTACCCTGAATCTGTGTTCCCAGACCATGATCACTCATATTTGGTTTCATAATAAACTGTCTCTTATCCCTTAAAAAACAAGAATGATGTGCTAACTACCACCAGTTATGGTATGGTAGTAAGAAAATTTTATATGTCCCTGAGGCATACTTCTTTGCTATCATTTTTATCAGTTTTGTAAATTAGTATATGGTGTGCTTCATTGTGGCACTTCTATACATAATTTGCTTTGCTGATTGTCTTTCCCTCCTCTCTTGCCTTCCTTCTGGTCTCCTTCCTCCTCTCAGTAAAGCTCTTTTCTCCTCTCATTATACCTTTTCTAGTTTCATGACCTATACATACATACCATCACACACTATACCCGCATACATAAAAATTAATGTCTATGACTTATATCCTGGTTTGTCTCTCCATTGCTGTGACAAAACACTCTGACCACTACCAACTTGGGGAGGAAAGGGTTTATTTAGCTTACATATCCCAGGTCACAGTTCATCCGGGAGCCCAAGGTAGGAACTCAGGGCAGGAACCTGGAGGCAGGAGCTGGAGCACAGGCCATGGACGAATGCTGCTTACTGGCTTGCTCTCCTGGCCCCTGCTCAGCCTGCTTTCTTATGCAACACAGGCCCACCTGCCCAGGGGTGGCACCACCCACAGTGGGCTGGGCCCTCCCACATCACTCATCAAGAAGATGCCTCACAGACATGGCCACAGGCCAGTCCAATGGAGGCAATTCCCCAATTGAGGTTCCCTCAACCCAGGTGTGTCAAGTTGACACTAAAGCTATCCAGCACAACTTATGTATGAGAGAAAATTGTTGTTTTCCTGAGTATAGACCACTTCACTTGATGCAATTTCCATAAATATGGAACATAATAAAATGATAAAGTAATACAAATATGGAGCATAAATAATTTATAGTTCTCTCCATTTTTGGCAATGTTATGTTTTCACTTTTCTTTGTAGCTAAAATATTTCAGTTGTGTAAATGCACCATGTTTTCCTTATCCAATCACCTATCTATGGACACTTACATTGGCTCATACTTCTGAACCACCAATTATAACGCCACCTTGAGAAAGATTTGGCTCTACTTCTAAAAGAATGAAATCAGTGCTTGAAAGCTATACATAGGATTGATCCCTTTGGCTTCCATACATTCTTAGAAGAAAACACGTTTCAGTTAGTCATATGTTTCACAGTATGCAGAGCTCAGTGACACTAAATTAGACAACACAATTTCTCCACACTCATAAGCACGAAGAGAGAAGTTCCCACTTACTGGGTTTTTCAGGGTTCAAATATTGCACTGCAAAGATGTCCATGACATGACCTCCTTCTTTACAAAGCTACAATATGAAAAGCTTAAAATCTTTCCCACTTTTTCTCAAGGACATCAAACATTGCACTGACTCTTAGTGAACCCCTTTAATACCTGTTCTCTTTTTTTTAATTTGGAAAGTTTACCTTTTTTAATTATTTATTTAATAACCACATACTTAGAAGAAGCATTTCAATACATCAACATTGATATATTCAATAACAATTTTCTGAGCTAGGATGCATCTCTCAAAATTGGCTGTACATTTTTCATTTACAGTTGAATTATTACAGTTATACAATATTGTACTCAGTATAAACCCTATAACACATAAAATTAAATGAGGTTTTAACCTTTAAAAAAAATCT